TAAACGAAAACATTACTTTGAGCCAAGCCAGCCTATTATGATAGTTTTAAAGATAAATAATTAAACACAATATTTATTGTCAATAATATTAGTAATATTACTATAATTATAGTTATTAACATTAAATTACTTAGTCAATTATCGGTGTACCATTAAATAATATGAATATATCTGTAGAAAATGGTATAAAATTCGTGTTAATATTTTATAAAACTCATTGTATACATTAAATAAAAGTATAAAATATGTATAAACAGCGACGAAAAGTTTCAAGTACCTATGGATAATTTTTTAAGAATTAAAACAACTGAAAAAAAATTAATAAAATAATTTTTTTTTGTTTAAACATAACATTTCGTTAACATTAAAATTTGAAATTTGAAAAGCCAGGTCTTAATTTTTTTTAATTACTTCATAAATAAAATATATCAATAAACAGTTTAAAATTAATGATGAACAATACACGTAAAAAATATAAATAAAAATAATAATTTTAATATAACGTTATTAAACATTTGCGTGCTTTTTTCACACTTCAGTATTTATTATATTATAAATCATAATTTCAATAGTATTAATTTGATTAACTTTGTAGGTTTGACTAATTCAAAATTGACCAATTTCTGTTATTGATAGTTAATATTTTCTAAAATATTTTATAGTCGTTTTTTATAACTACATACCTACTATGAAGTACATTTCTCAATTAATTCTCGTGTTTATGTTAAAATAATATTTAAAAACGTAAAAACAACATATATTTTTATAATTCAAAACCTTACACCTTATAAAACTTAATAACGTACCTACACAAATATTTATGAGATTCTTAGGTACCTAATAATAATAATAATTTATATTCCGTGATATAATCTTTGTACGTAATTACAACGTTGATAAAATTTTGAAAACCGTATAGGATACGAATAAAATAATTATTTTAATGTCTATAGGTACTTGTTGACATCGCATGCATTTTCAGAAAATATATCCTATTGCTATACACACGTATTTAATCGTTTTGGTCGTATAAACCATACAATACGATTCCCATAACGTTCGCGCCATCTGTGGAACGCTCGAATAATATTATCACGAAAGTCGCGTAACTTTTTAACACCACCTCCGCACAGCGTCGGCGGCGGCGGCGCGCTCGATCGATATTTCGCCGCCGCCGACGACGACGGTGGTCGCTTCCGTTATCATAATAATAATAATAATAATAATACGTCTATCGGCGACTGCTCGACGACTACGGCGGCAGTATACGACGTGTGTCCCGTCGATCGTCGTCTGGTGTTGCTCGTTTGGCGTTGTGCGTGCAAAAATCACGCGATTTACGTAAAAAAACAGCAAGACAAATATACTTTATCACGTGCAACTGGCGTTTGTAAGTGCAGCGTGTGCGTCGGAAAACACCCATTGATATCGTCGACAAACCGCAACAACATTAATATCATAATCGTGTTATTTCACCGCACTATAGCACGCAGTGCACGTGTTCTTGTGAACTCTGATCTCACATTTTATCACGACAATAACGTTGTAATCATCGCCGCAGCCGTTTGTTTTATTTTTTTTTTTTTTTTTTATAAATAATCCGTCGTCGCCGTACAATAATATTATTGTATCGATCGGAGGGTGTGTGTGTGTAAGCGTGCGCGTGTGCTTGTGTGTGCGACCGGAAGACGGCGGTGACGCGCCCGCGGGAATACGATCGCAAAGAGGTGAGTTCTGTGTGCGGAAATCGGAAGTGTAAACACTTACACTCGGCGCACTCGCGTCGTTATTCACAATAATATGATAATATTATTCGCGTACGTTTTTATCACGTAACAGTTTCCATCGCGTCCTTCGATACTTATATGCTATGGTCGTACATCGGAAAGATGTAATATTATTGTTTTTGCCGTCTCGTCGTCCGATGTCGGTTCAACATAACGGACTAAATGATAAATTTTAAAATTATAACGCGTTAGACCTGTGTAAAAGACCATTATCGAGTTAGAGTATTAAATAATTGATGTAGGTATCGTTGTATTAATATCGCATAGTCACAGGTTACCAAATTGACAATAAGCATAATGTTATGTTATTTTAATCATATTCTTATACGAATTTAAATAAAAACTTTGTTTTACATGTTTTTAGTTTTTACATATCTGAACGTTAAGTATACGTAAAATATTTGTATATTCAAAGATTTTTTTTATACATACAAAGCTTATATTTTATTTTAATGCATTTCTTCGTAATACTTGTTGAAATTATTAATAATTGGTGTTAACATTAAACCTTTTTAAATTAAAAAAAAAAAAAAAAACTAACAAAAAATCTCGAACTTTGAGTACCTATCTGTAAAAAAATAATACTGTATTAGTTTATAGTTTATACTTTGTATATTTTAGATTTTTATATTTGTATTTACATACCTAATTATTATTACATTATTTATATTTTTATTTAACATACTTTATACATTTTATTTATGTATCGTTTTATCAATCTCATTCTAGTAAACACTTAATTACATTTATTTTGAATTGGACTGATACTAAGTTTAATTTAAAAGGAATACCGCAAGGAATATAGTTTAATTTTTTAACAGTTCATAGCAAATATAATCTATTTAACAAATTTTCAGTAGGCTATAACAATATTGTGTGGTCACCTTCTTTTAATTAATTGTAGTGTTAATATTTATAAACTTCTCTGATCATACGCAATTCTTATATAGTTTTTAGTGTTTTTATACTGTTCTAGTGTCGAATTATCAATAGAAATTTCATAAATATTGTATTTTTAAATTAAATAAAACAGTTTCTATTTTTTTAAACTTTTTTTTATTAAAATAAAACGTTGTACATTTCGTAGGATAGAAAATTGACAACGACGATTAAACATTTAAAAATTATTTCGAACTGTAAAAAATCGTTTATTTACACTGTACAGTTGAATTTATCTCCACTTGATTCCCAACATAAAATATATAGGTGCAGAATAAGTAAAATGTATGCGTAGTATTGTCATTAGCTTTAGAATAACCAAAATTTGTATTTTTTAATATTTAGTTGGTTCTAAAGTTATTGATGACTATTACGTACAAATCATTTCTCAGTCGTATTATAGTAACAATGAGCAATGGCACATAATCAGTGAGCCATGGCGTTATTATAAGTACATTAATATATATATATATATTGTTAATACACACACACACACACATATATATATATTTATAAATAATCAATTAAAAATTGTATATCATTAAGTATAGCATGGTTATACCTATATTATCACAGACATACATTTTAATTATTGATACCTATACAAATCATCATTCACATTTTTCAGCACACCTACAACTCGTTATAATATGCTACACACAAGTATAATATTACAGTGATATAATTCTTATTTATTTATTTATTTATTTTCATATTTATTTGGACTGCTATTATGTATTATTATTTTGTATCGTACATTATTTTTTGTTCAATGCTCGTTTTTGACTAATCCTATTTTATAACAATTATTATTTGGGCTAGGATGTATAAACAATATATAAAATATTAAATAACAAATAAACTAATGATATCACGATTAATAGTTTTCTAATCAATAACTTTCTAGTTTTAAAATCGTCGAATGAGAAAACCGAAGTTACTTTTTATGCTATAGCTAAATAATAATTGTTGTCGATGTTTAAGCAATAATTTCGATTAAATTCTTAATAATATTAACAAATTTTTAAATTGTTTTACTCGAAGACAATAATAATGATAATAATAATCGAAATAATTATCTGAGTAATACGACCCGGCATATGAATTTTATCATTATTATTTTCGTTTAAACGGTGCATGGCCCGTACCGTTAAGTATATTATGCACTTTTCGCGTTCACACTTGCTGATTTAATATGGGCAACGCAATAATAATGTTCAGAGTAAAAACAACAAATCCTTCGTATCACTATTCACTATACACAAATGCGGCGATTCGCGGACGGTACTAACTCAAATTTGTAAAATAGCACTCGAGAAAAACGGCATATTTTGCTGCTGAATGCATCATAACCTACGTAAATCCTAGCCCTAAGCACGTGAAACGTTTTGTTTTTTTAATCAGACTAACCGCGTTTATCGTCGTAACAGGTCTACGACCGCGGTTACCACATTTTCTGTATTATCATTATTATTATTATTTTTTTTTTTTTTATTTACCTATCGTTTACTGCAGATCGCAATATTTCCAATATTTCCACGAGAACGAAAAATCTCGCAGTACTTGCTCGGTTCGTCATGATTACCTACGCATCGCACTGTGTTTGCATGGTTTACGCGCACCTTTAGCTTGATCGCAACGTCGACTTCTAACGAAAAATAGAAAATAACAAAAACACTGTCTTTCGTGCTTAGATATTAACGGCGGCGGAGACGGCGGCAGCAGCAGCGTCGGCGGCGGCGGCAGTGGTGAAAATTCGACACCACCACCATCACCGCCATCGAGCGAGCGACAGCCAGACGCCGCCACTTCACCGTCGAGGACGACAACGTCGTCACCGCATCTGTAAATAGTAAAATAATATACCAATAACACGACGAGACACCGCGCACGATCACCGCCATCACCATACGACATCATCGTCATCGTCACCGTCATCATCGCCGGCGCCGCGACAACCGTCACCAAGACAACTCTGTCGCGACTACCGCCGAATCGCGAAAACCCGGACCGCCGCCGACCTGACCTAAACGACGGTCACGCGGACTTTGCCATGCAGCCAGCCATCGTCCTCGTTCCGGCGCCGCCTGCCACCGTTGCACGCCGGACGGCGCCGGCGATCAGCGCCGCGCCGCTTTTCGTCCGAGGCCGTCTGCTGGCCGACATAGCGTAGCCAGCGGCAGGAAGAACGACGGCGCGATCGCCAGCGGCCGGCAGAGTCGACGACACCCCGGGCGACAGCTCGCAACGCCGTTCGGCTGCCTCTCGGTCCTGATGTCGCCGCATTTCAGCAGCAGTACTGCTCGTACACCCGTCACGCGCGGTTTTTACACTTTGTGGGGGGGGGGTGTTCCGCCCGTTTTGGTCGAAGATTAGAAAAAAACGATAGGTCGTCGCGACCTGCAGTGTGGGTTTTCTTGTGGGTACGATTGACAACCGTTTTATAATAATTTACTTTTAGTGCGTCGGATAACACACGCACGCGCACACACTTCGTTGTGTACTCGATAATTATTAAAGGAGCGACGTGTTATCGTATTAGAAATAATAAAAAAAAAAAAAATTACGAAAATAAGCCATTTTCCTACGCGTAAACACGAGTTATCGCGGAGGATCCGACCGGTTCACGCGTTTTTCAAGTCCTTCGTGCCGTCGTTCTCGTCTGTTTGTACGTACGTCTTATAATATGAGTGTGTGTATTTTTTTTTTTTAATAAGGAGCAGCGATTTCGAGTGGAGCCATCGGATCTGAGCTCGACGACGAGGCAGCCTCGGCGTACTGGTGGACCGACGTGTTCCTCCGATATTTCGTATTCGACGAGGACTGCACGAAGACTACCGCCACGGCCGACTCTGACGACTTGTTGTTTTTCGTACGGCGCCGGCGAAACAAGCGCAGATGCATTAAGCGCCGACCGTCCTCACATCGTCGGCGTAAGGTAAGGATCCATTTATTATGTACATTTATTCATAATATTATAAGACGCCCTATCCACCATTACTCCTCCCTTATTCGCAGCGCATTAAAATCCCTGCGCGTTTTCAGCTTCTCGTCCCGACGCTGACCTATATTTCATTTCATCTTACCGCAATAAACGCATTGTGATAACGTTTTTTTTTTTCACTAGCACTAACAAAACACTCCCGATTCAAATTATTGATTCTTTTGTTCACGTTGAATATTCTTACGCCCATTTCTTGAAATGAAAATTTTTAAAACTTTGAATTTCACATTAATTTTTAAAGTTGAGCTTATTGTCATTCGTTGTTTTTTTATTTTTATTTTTTGCTTTAATATATTATACATTTTACTGTTTCTACGATTAAAAAGTTTACAAATTTATTTCACTGTTAATTTACCTTTTTCTTTGGCTCAATTAGTTCAATTCTACCACTTAAAGCTAAACATTTATTCTTGTACGTCAGGTACATTGAAATCCATCTATACGCAATCCACGTCATAAATTACTACAACACTTCTCGATATTCACTGGCTAATATTTTTTCTTTGCCCACGCGTGTCTTGCCGTCTTTAGATCATTTACGACACCCGAGCTTATCGAAAACAACAACACAATCAACAGCAGCAGCAACAACAGCAGCAAAAGCCGACCTTGTTGCCGATCGGCGATCCGGCAATTCTTTGGCGGCACACTGTGTGCCTAAACGCCATCGTTCATCGGCTACGGTACACGCTCACAGTGGCCGTGTGTGTACATGTGCCAAGAAAAGCAGCCACCCCTGTCTGCTTCGACTGCTGCGACGGATCACGAGAGTTCGAATCGGCCGATGACGAACAAGGAGACTGCGAATACGATCTTCAGCTGCTATCGCGATACGTGCACGTAAGTATACATTATCTTCCGGACTTTGTGTCCGGTTTCGTGATACAATTGATATAATGATTCTTATTTCTCTAATTCATTATTTTCGTTGTTATGACTTACCGCAATGATGAAACAAGCAGACAGTGTACGCATCGACTAGTGGCAGGCGTATGGATGCTGCCAAGGGACCTAGAGAGCGGCCTGTGTATCCTGCCTTGTGTTGGGCCGTCGACGACTACGCTGAAGTAAGTGCTATATTATGTATTATTAAGTTAGATGATATTTTGTTGCTTTTAAAATTTGAGATCACTTTTTGTGATATAGTATTAAAATAATATTGATTAGCATTAAAGTTAATTACGCGTATAACACTTGTAGTAATAAATATCTTAAGCAATGACTGCGTTACATGGTTTTAGACCCTTTTATGTACCTATACTATGATTGAAAAATTCAATAATTACAATATTAATGTTTTAGATATAAATACTTGGAAAAATATATAAATAAAATATAACATGGATACAAGTTGCGTATCGTCTGATAAATTTACTAGTTCGAAAACCATTATGTTTATTAAATATTTTTTATCAATGTCTATCCTTTTTAAACTTGTTTATAAATATGATTTTCTTCTGCATAATAGCCATCACAATTCCATAACATTATATTTTTGTATTAGATAAAAGTATAAGTATATATTTAAAATACTTAAAATATTTTTAACTTGAACATTAATAAGTGATCTCAGATTTGCATTTTGTAGTCGAGTGCTAATTAAAATGTGCATATTTTATAATTGGTATTACTACTAGTGGCGTATGATTTTTACTTTTTCATCGATAATATTTAATAATAACATGCCATCCGTAATGCAGGCATTCCGCACAGTGATCGTACACCCTGGACAGACAGTATGCGCTGAACTGGTAGCTACTTGGTCGGATCCGACAACCGTAATCGAGGAACACCGCGATAACGACAAAGATGACGGCAACGACAACGATCTGGATGATAGCAACTACAATCAGTTCAGTCGTCACAAATCCGCGTCCGTCAAAATACAACAAAATCAAAACAAAGCGGTTCTGTTCACCGCTGCCATCCCTTATGCCGCGGTGCGCGCCGCGTACGAGTGCAAGGTGATTAGATCATGAATTTTTAAGTCAAATTTTTAACGCAAAAACACCTCTACATAGGACAGAGGTTTTTGATAAATAGTAGAAAAATTGAAAAACAATCTCAGAGAAATAGTTATTTGTTCTATAAAATAAAATGATATATTTACCTATAAAACTCCACAAAACGTCCGTGAAAAGTTTTCTCAAATTTTAAACTTGCGTAGTTAACATATTATATACAAAATATGTTGGATACAGAACATAATTGGGACAGAATATAATTTAAAGAACGAATCTAAACCGACTAGTTCAATATTAGAGGAGAAGAACTGGGACCCATTTATTTGATTTATAGTCTAATGTCTAATGTTTCTTGCAGAAAGTGTACTTTTCTAATGTACTTATCGATATTATCCTAATATACGCACCTTTGTACAATTCGGCATTATTGTTAAATGATAAATAATTTCAAAAACTCGCTGTAAATTCCACACTGGTTCGATGATTGTATTTAGATCAATTAAACTTTAGTCATTACTCATTTCATTGAATGACTCTCAAAATCTATCTTTCAAGTACAAAAATATATTTCTATTATTCGTTTATTTTTTTTGCAACACCCTTTTGTTAGTTTATATTATTTTCGATTTTGATATCATCTTCGAACCACCATTGAGCTTATTATGTTATTGGTACGTGACGACACTCGTATTTGGCACTTATGGTGACCGTGGCCCGTTCACAGATGAGCTTGTACCGCGATGCTGAACGCCAACGGAGGAAACTGTGGCGGCAACAGCAACGGAAACGTGGAGGCAAGAAATCATCGCTGGGCGCCACGCTGTCCGCATCATTGACTGCACTGTTCGTGGGCGGCAACAAAGACTCTGCCCCGTCTTCAGGCTCCGCAGATTATGATGGCTATTACGGTGCCAGCTCTTCTGCGACCGATGCCGACGCAAATCGTGTCGAGTACGTGACGGTGCGAGGTTGCCGGCCGAGTAGTGATAACAATGACAGCGACACCGAACTGTCGTCGGGTGACGAAAAAATCGACGGCGACGAATCGGACTTCGACGGGGACGACGACATCGACAACTGCACAAAAGGCTTAGCCCAGATGGCCGTCACGCTCGGTAAGTACCTACAAAATATGCTTTTTATTTTTTCTCGCGAAAACCTATACAGCCCGTGTTCCGTCAGTGTTTGTGATTATTATCAATTCATCGTTATCATTGTAATCGTGATTATTAGTTTTTATCAAACAACCACCGAAAGTTTTAAAACGAGCGAGATACGATTCTAACTCACAATTATTCTAGATTTATAAGGATAATAGCCAGAAACGGAATATAACCAGCTAATGCTACCTTTAATATAAGTTAAAGTGTTTTTCCTTCCGAACTTCTGTAGTGAAGTATTATGCATAAGTAAATCTATTAAAAACATACTTTCGACTAAGGTACCAATTATTTACATGAGTAAAAGTGCCACTTCTAGACATTATCTTTACTTGATATTATTTTGTTACTGGTACATTGTACGAATAATTAAAAATTCTATTGAAAAACGTCATATTATATTATATAGTCTACGCAAGGTGATTCGAATTAAACTTTATTTGCATGTTAGTTTCGTAAATAATTTATCCAATTGAATTCTCTAGGACTTTAGTATATTTATGCATGAAGTTTTTCAGGTTAATAATATATTATGGGTATATTAATGTACCTTACACTATATTTTTCAAGTGGAATGTTATTATCCCTTTATGTACATATCATGTTATAATTTGCGCATATTCACTAAAAAGAATAACTTCTCTATTTGCATAAAAAACATTCAAATTACAGCACAATATAATGTATGGTACGCACACGATTTCTTTTTCCGTCACCAATACTTATACATGGTACATTTTTATACTATCTATTTTTATATTATATACGTGGGAGATACATATTATTATTTTTTAATATATATTCTTTAATTTAGTGATTCAACTAAATAAATAATACTGAATAATAATAAATATTTAAGTAGGATATATGCAATATGTATACTATTTTAATACTTTGTATTTGCTAAACATTTTATATACCTACTGATATAACAATACACGTGTAATGTACTGATGTATTTTAATATATAACATACGCGTATATAATATGTAGACCAGTAAAATAGTGTAATAAAACATAAATAAAAATACTTATATACCTACTATTTACAATACACTACATATAATAAAAATAAAATATTATTGACAAACTTCGTATTTCAAAGAAATATGGCATATTTGTATAGGTAACTGCATGGTCAACTGTACAAATAATTTAATATTTTATTTGAACAAACAGGATGATTTTTACTAATATTGATTAAACTATTATAGATTATTGAGTGTGGATAGAACAAAAGTGTGAGATATAATAAGGTTGATCACTAATAATTTGATTATTACTAGGAAATTGTGTTAAATAAACCGAGAGAAATTACTTTGGGTTATATAAGGTATTAGTTCGTTAAAAGTTTATTATTACAATAATGAATATGATAACAATAATTTTACTTATAACTATTGTTACGGATGATAGTAATGATTCAATATGTTTGCCACACGTGTGAATTTTATGAATTAATTATTTAACAGCACCAATACAGCGAGTTGAAACATCCACCTCTGGTTTTGATGATAATTCTGAATACCGTGTTCACCACCACCATCATCAACAACAGTACTGTGGTGGTGGAGAGAACAATTGTGGCGATACCGATCATGATCCTGATTTTGCTACCAGTGCATATTATGACCATGATAACGATGATTACGCTACAGTGAACGGTTACCAGCAACAGCAGCTCGAGTCCTACACCACACCGGCAACAGCTTCTGAACCCGGTGACTTCTATGACTACGGGTGGGACTATGAAACTGCGGCCAGCAGCGAGCAGCAAACGCCTCAAACCCCTTCCTATTATTATCAACAACAACAACAACAACAACTTGAACGTCAACGACGCCGGGGTCGCAAACCGGTAAGATATATTTTGTTATTTAATATTACAATAAACCTTATTAGATGGAAGGAAAACATGTTTTTTTTCTCAAGTGTCAGTTAGTTATTACATTTGAAAATGGTAAAATTTGTAAGCCAGATTTACTGCTGGACTGAGTCAATATTAATTTATTAGTACATCATTATACTATAAATGGGAGTCATTTTAGACGAGTCCCATTGTAATGACAATAATAATAATTTAAATTAGATGCGATTATTTTGCGATATATTTTTAAGACAATTCATAACCACGCTTAAATATTTTATAAAAATACGGGCCTATAAGCTATAAAAATTATGCACATATAAATTCATTTTTTACTAAGCTCGGTCCTAAACTTGTAAACTTAACTTAAAAAATAGTAAGTAGCTACACTATAAGATTTAGAAAATAGCCAAGTACTAATCTATTTAAACCATCTTAATAATTTTACACAATTTTATTTTTTATTTTCATATTCAAGTGAATACTTGATTAATGTGGATTATACTAGTATAATATTTAGTATACTAGACAATATTGTTGATATATATATGTAAAATATTTAGTTAACTAGTATTAATAAATGTTTTAATATTATTGAATTCGTATGAAGCAAGATTTAAGTTATGTCTTCTACATTTAAACATTTTCATATAATATAAATAATTAAATCTAAAAGTTACTTCTGATAGTGAAAAGTCTTTATTTGTCTACATTGTTATTTGCATTTATTGATATTTTTTGTTTTAATTTCACATTCAATAGAGGCGGCTCAGTGATCCATGTTCGACGTCTGTTTTTGATCAACTGGATAACAATGACCAGGGTACAGAGCAACATAACCAGACCTATCAACAACAGCATGAAATCAATGATATTAGCATGTACGGAAAGAAAAGTAAACGAAAACAACAGTATAACTACCGACATCGACTACAGCAGCAATCGAATAGGTATGGAAGTGTAAAAGGATTATCGTCAATGGCATTGACACCAGGAAGATCTGGAAAAATGCAACATCCGCATCGGGCCTGGTCTGAGAGCGACGGGTTAGATCAGTGTGGCAGTGGCCTCGTTCAACAAATCCGAAATCAGCAAAAGCCTCAACCGTTACTTCCACCCCCTGTACCTTATTATTGTGCTGCTGAAGCAGCCCAATCAGGTTTTGTGCAATACGTACACAAGAGTCCGGATGGCTGGTGGACACGAACTAAGAACAAGCGACGTAGAAGACGTTATCAAAATACGAAGCGAAAGCATAGTGGTAAAACAAACACAACCGTTGCAGATCGGCGTCGAAGTGCTAGCGCTGGTGCGACGAATGGTTGTACCATTACCGATGACGATAATAGTGTTGGCTCGGATTCGGGATCAAACTCAGACCATGGCGAATCAAACTCTGATGAACAAGACAGCGATGGTGAATTCATTGGGGCACTTGCTGCTGCTGCAGCATTTGGCCAAGACCCTGATCGAGAATGGTTGCAACGGGGAAACGCCGGTGATCCAGTAGCTGATTGGGATCGGTATGACTGTGACAGTGACTCATCAGCCGAACCTGATGACGATAATATGGTTGAATGGACAACCGAGATTATAGCTACTGATATAAGACGTAAACAACCATATCAAAACTGTAAGTTTAAAACAATCACAATAAATTATAATTCTCAGTTTAAATATTAATAATAAAAATACGCGTGTGTTCATATGTTAAGGTTCAACAGTGTCGTCTAGGATAGCACATGATAATTCCTTACATTTTTGTGGTGAACAGTCACCGACACCTGTCTTTACAAACCGTCAGCTACATCAGCAAAAACAGCAATCTGTTGGTCACTCACAGCAATTCCATCGACAACTATTGCTGCCACAATTCCGACCTAAACCACTCGAACCTCCACCACCACCATCGCTAAGCGTAGCATTCACTGCTGTGGCCTGTCCATGGTGGACAGTCTTAGAAGGTGAGCTAACTTAATTTTTTTCAGTACATTTTTGTAAAGACATTAAATTACAAAAGTAAATTGATTTTATGTATACAATTGCTCGTTTGTTTGTTTAATAGACGTGTTGCATGTGAATGCCCAAACATCAGGAGAGCAAATGTCATCAAATAAAACAGTCACAAGGTTACCTCTCCTAACATTTGATTAGCTATAAACGTCAATAAATAAAATAATTTATAAACAACGTTTGAATGTAGTGAACACATTAAAAATTACTTCGCATGCCCTGGTGATGGCGTTAACTAATTACTCATAAACCATAAAAATATGTACAAAATACTTTGTCCCAACTTCTGAAGTAAAAAAAAAAAAACAGAAGAATAAACATGGACAGCTAACTATTAGTATATTGATTTAAATTTTATGTATATAACATTGTAATATATATATGTACATATTATACTGTATTAATACAAAAATATAACAGATACTCAATGTATAAAATACAAAATAATTAAAATTAGAGTTTAAGAAGATCTCATTGATCCAAATTCAATTTTTGGCACAGCAAAATAAATTGAGGATAACTATTATTAGAATTTATGAAAAAATATTGTGTTAGAATGAACATCAAGATAAATGAACATGAATAACCGGAATTATATCGTATTGATTACAATTCTATAGTAAATAATTTTGTATAAAGCAGCAAATAATTTAAAGTTTAAATTTTATTGACAAGGACAAAAAGTAAAAATTAAACATGCGTTTATTATACTTAAATATTGACTGATTCAGTTTTAGTTGAAAAAATGTCGTCAAATTTCTTTATCGTTAAATCAATCAAGCACATTATTTACTGATTAATAAAATATATAACTAAACATTGACTGTGGTTGAAAAATGACTGTTCCATCGACATCAAAGAGCATCCTACTAATGAATTACTTCTTAGTAACTGAGTAATTTTTGACTCCTGATGACCTAATGCTGTACTTCCGTTCGAAAAACACTATACATTCGATCACTTGAAACAATCATTATCAAGGATGGAGATCAAAAACATTAATTGCAGTTGTTGGAATTATTTGACAACCTTATATTGGGTATGAATAATGTTATTTATTATTCAATATATCATTATATATATTAAATATTGATTTTTTTGATTTTTCAGTAGACCGCCTCAAACAGTTCCAGAATCCATTATCTACAAATGAATTATGTTTCCACTGCTCAAATTCTGGAATCAACCGGCACATAATTTACACATAAACGTAACTCTATCCTCTATTTACTACATCTCCAGTCACCACACCACACATCACAACATGCAACCACTTCACTGCTCCATACACTATCACCTGAAAAAATACACTTTCATCAAAGGTTAGAGCTCTTATTTATTACTACACGTCATTCACTTCATAAAACCTTGCGTCTAAGCTTGGTAAATTCGAACTGTGCCAAGTAATTATAATTTTACTGAGATTCTAATATTGGCAGAATGCATATTGTAGATGATTGATAGTTAAGATTATCAATCAAGTAGTTTATCTTTGTAGAATTTTAATTATTGAAAATAAGTACAACACGATTTATTAAAACACTTGAATTTTTAATATTTTAAGAAAACCACAAATTGGTATTTGATTAAAATTTCTCATCTATGAAACACATATACTCGTTCAACAAACGTACAATTGTATTAAAGTTTATTTTTTGTTTTGTAATGTAGCTTATGCGAGTGTCATTAATTTTTTTAGAAACAAGAACCACCCATATAACTATTAACTTATTCTATTTTAATATTTTCCCGTCAATTCTTCATTTAGCATGTCATCTTTGTAAATTGTTTAATTTTAACTATATTTTCAACAACAACTATTGATCCCTTATACCTCTCATTCAATCAAAACCTTATCCATCACATGTGTGTTTATTTGCATTTTAATGAAATAAACGTTTCTTTTTAAAATTTGACTTGTTCATTTAATTTTACTACTGATTAATGATGTTGGTGTGGTGCTGTTTACTATCCTTGAGAAAATCCTGACATTTGTTTCCTATATATTTGTATAAATTATCTACGATAGGCCACTGATACAACAAACCTGATTGAATGTAATTTGTTAATAATCATATTAACTTCATTGAATTGTAAATTATTTATTCTAGTCATAAAAACTAGAGAGAAAAGGACCAACTCTGTACCTATACTAAATAACATTTAACATTTTATTTTATACAATTATGATTGTTATATTCGTTTAAGTTTTGTATGATTAACTAATAATATTGTTTAAAATTGTTTCTACTTGTGTTAATGGTTTCGTATTGTTGTTCAGTGTTAGTTTAATAAGTGTTTCTGTAAGTATTTGCTTACGTATTGATATTATTGATGTTAAAATATGTACTTGCAACTTTTTATATTATTATTCATTACAATATACTTTGTTTGTATTTAACTGTATACATAACAAGAGTTTTTGTTATTTATCATTATAATTATCCTATTTTAGTTATTATATTTAGGCAAATGTTTAAAGGTACATGGTACATACATGTCAAAATGACCAAAGTTTTAATTATGTTATTGACAGATAACATATAATAATAAAAATATTGGGTTACAACATGAAACAATATAGAAGTGAAATGAAATAAATTATATTGGTATTCTCACAAAGAAAATTTAATAAATATCATTTATTTTTATATATACGACCTACAAAAAATAGAAACATTTTCCGGAAGTTTATTCATTTTCAAAAATATTCATAATGTATTAATCATTTCAAAAAGTTTCTAAATGGCGTTTCTTTTTATTTTTACAAAGGTAATTTATATTAAATATTTTTAGTGAGGATACGAATATAGTTAAATAATGTTTGTATATTTTATAGTTGGAAACATATGTATTGATGAACAAAAATCATTTTGGAAAGACAACTCAAGGAAACGTATTATACACAAAAGGTACGTATTTAATCGACATTGACATAACTATTACCTATACAAATTTTATTAATATTCGTTATTTCTTGTTATTATTTTTGGTTGCTTGGACGTATATGATCTCGAAACTCACTGAAAAACATTGCAATAACTTAGCTGCTGAATCGAGTAACCTTAATTCGAACCACAAAGGATGGAAAATATTTGTGGCTAGAGGCAAGGCATTCGATATGGTCATAAAGTTTGACAGCGATTACGGTCGATTTCAATGGTACGTTTATTTGTGATTAATATTTATCAACTAATTCTAATTTTACAATTTATAATTAATTGCATATTAATTTTTATTTATATGGATAAACAAATCGATCAATGATGCTGAAACTATTTCTAAATATAGTTCTCATTTTATTGTTGTCATAAATCTTCCATCAAAATGTTTTCTATGGAGAAGTCTATGCGTAAGTATAAATCTGTTAAATTAAATGAGCTGATATATTTTTATACAGTATCATTCAATATTAGATACAAAATTCATATGCATTTATACAATCTCATGATCGATTCATTATTTGTTTATGTATTTGCTTGTATACGGCATTGCACCGTGAGAAGACTATTGTAATGTGTAAAAGATGACGATGAGTGATCATTTCGACTGAATTCTATCAACGTTCTGCCAATCACCGTAGAGTTATCATCATCGTTACAATTAACATCAAAGATAATGGTATCGTAAAATGTTGTATTAGTTGAAACTTTAATACCTAATTTAGACTTGAAAGTTTTCAGATTAGCGATTAACACCTTGACCCTTCGTGATGAATAAATTAGAATAGTTTTAATAAATCAGAAAAGGAAAGAATTTGAGCAGAATGAATAAAGACTTAACTTGGAAATGATATTAGTCTGATTTGTCATTAAATGACAGACATTTTCAATGAGACATCATAATTATTGAAGATATTTTGGCATCGATACTCGGTATAAGATTTTGTTAGTGAGTATAGCATTACAGTGCTCAAGTGGTGTAAGTGTTGAATAAAGTTTTTATGTCATCATACTATTTAACAATCAGAATTGATAGATTCTGAAATTATGATATCCATAATTTTAAATAATATTTTTTATAGTTATTTTTATATACCTGTTGTTTGTTTTACAGATATTTACATCGATATTTATAAACTTCATATACAATATATTTATATAGGTTTCATAGTTACGTAAACCATGTGTGTAATTTAATTTAATTTTATATATTTTAATGATATATTTACCTTATTGCATCAAAAACGTGTATTGTAGTTATAATAAACATATCGTAGGTCTAACAAAAAGTGTTATTCTTATTGAACAAAAAAATTATTTTGTATTTAATTGAAGTATACATAAGATGCTAATTTTTATGAAGTACTAATTTATTTTTATTTATTAATTTACAGATAAAGTAGAAGACTACATTTTTTGGCCCCAACTTAACACTCGCCGTCGAGTGAACACAGCAATGGCACAAGTATAATTATTAGTGATATTATTAGTGATATCACTATCGAGGATAGCTTAGCGCTGTAAGTGTGGGACGGCGTGGAGGAACTGTGATACACGATTCGTATCGTTTGACCGGAACCTTCACATCAACGTTGGTAGAATCTTTACGATATAACGTAAAGGCTTCGAACATCGTTGTCGCACGAACAGCACCCCGGCGAAGACAATGGTATGATGTTGTCTAAAGCTAGTTACGAGTTATGTCGGCGCTAGTGTATATGACAAGTCTGCTTGCGTCCGTTTTTGCATTGGTGGATGAAAACTATCACCGACTTTGACTGGTCGATACTGGTTGAGGAAGGAGGTAGACTTACGTGGCATAGAATAAGGTGAAGTCGAATTTCGGCCGCCTTTTTCTGTTAATGTCACTAAGCGGCACCACGTTAATGTGGTTGTCGAAAGACCGTAACAATAGTTGCGCACCTGGTGGTTATTAACCGCGTACCTTTATAGCCGTTGGCGGCAATCTAGACGTCCAAATGGCGGTTGTAATACCGCCGTCGCCCCGATAGATTGCTATTGGGAACGACGGCGGTCCAGTTTTTCAATAGCCAAGGGTGAAGATGAATTTCATCCGCCTAAAGCCTTTGATGACTGGCGACGTCGGACGTCATTCAAATAGGTTGTTGTTAAAACCGTTGTAGTTGGAGCGAAGCTAGATATATGCTGGTGGAGTGATGACTATGATGGACCAATGGGTAGAGGGCCGCAACCTTTAGTTGCCAGGAGGACCCTAAACGTAACGATGCATACGCCAATTCATAGCGTTTCATTCCGCTAGGTGGCTCACCAGTGGTTATAAGGGCGCTGAGTCAGGTTAGGTTACATTGAGATGAGGACTTCTCTCACCCCTTCAGAGAAACGGATATCGTTTTCTCATTGCGAAACATTCGTATCGGTTTCCCTGGCAGTCAGGCGGTTTAATTTAAAAACCAGTCACACAAAACCGCACCTCCCCAAACAATCACTTTTCACATGAATTTCAATTGAATAGATCTCATGAGAATAAAAGTATTTTTCTTTGTATTGAGAATTGGATATCCCTCTTCTTGATATCAGCGAAATACAAAAAGTTAGCATTTAAATTTCATGGGGTTCTAAAAACTAAAGCGTGTATTTTACCGTTAAATCCGTCAGGTTTTAGAACAATACAAAATACTTAAGCAGTTCGCGGTTATTTTAATTACTAGAAATCTCAAAAATGCAGAAGTATTCGTTCTAATCCTAGAAGTAATTTCAAGACATTTTGAAGTAAGTAATTCATTTTTATTTATTTTTAATCTTGCACCAACTGCATTATACTATCTCTTTTTAAAAATGTCTTTGATACAAAATCATCAACTAACTTATTATTTTTCTAAACATCTAATTTCTAAACTTACTTTTACTATAATAAATTAAAGATATATAAACATTATATTTTGTTCTAGTTTACATCTGCAGACACGCCTGCAGAACACAACTGCAGAACACAACTGCAAAACACAATTTCATTTTTCAGATTTCGCGTGCCTATTGCTGTTATTTGCTCTTCAAATATTTCAATTTTAATATAATAATTTGAGTAAGTATTTTTATGAATTCAGGTACTCTGTTAGGTTTGTTTAAAAAGGGAAATTTATTTTCAAATATTGTATATTTTTGATAAATATACAATATTTTAAATTGCTTAATTTTTTAATAACTATCAATACACGTACATCTATTTGGTGTCTAAAAATTTGTATTCTCTAACAGTGTTTACGAACCTAGGAACTTGTATAGCTATATTGTATATTGAACGTAGTAAAGTATAATCGAATTAAAATTGATAATACTATGTGTGGTAATAACATTTGATAAACATGAGTATGTGAATAGGATTAATTTTTGAGGTATTATAATTTTGACAAAATTCTACCATATTTAACAACAACATGAGATGAGTGAAAAAACTCTTAACTTAATCTCTCTTTTCAACGCGATCACATGGCTATTTACATTACAAAGATGAACAACAGTCATAACTGCCGCACTCCATTTGGACAAATGCCTCTAATCATCAAAAGGTTAATCATGCTGTCAAAATGGTTGAACTACAATTCACAAATGTTGTACCTACTATACACTTTTTCTGCGATATACAATCTGGACAATAGTAAATATTATGCTTACTGGACTTTTATAAAACTAATGTTGATTTTTGTGATCATCTTTACATTTTTTTAAGCTATTATCTTAACGGCAGAATTAATCGACTATACAATCTGTACATACCTGTAAAAGAATCAACAAACATAAAATGTATAACAATGGAAATATACTAGCGGTTCAGCTGCTGATTAATATCGGATAGCAGCGAGCGAAATCAATTCGTCAATTTTACCTGAAAAACAACACTTGACTTAATCGATAATCAGAATTTGTCTACTAGCATAAAGCTTGAGCAATCGCTTAAAAATTGTAAGTTAAAACCTATTATAGTAACTTACGATAATTATTTTAAATGATAGATTTCATAAATACAAAACGTTGCTGTCATGTTTACAGATTAACCGCTAAGCAATAACGTTGTGTTGTGTTGTGGATACTGCACTAAATAGGCGATTTTTGGTGTTATTTCACCGTCACCTTCAGTCATTGTGAACCGCCAACAACATCATAAAAATAAAACGACTCATTAGTCTTCAACATAAATTTCATATACAGCAACCATTACACACAACAGTCTTAAACGTTGCATTTACAGCTATCCATAGTGGACGGTAAAGTAAGGTGTGTTTATAGCTTACATACTTTTAATAAAGACAGTAAATTTTATAGTAATCCTATGATTTTTTTTTTTTTTTTAAATAGTGAGTACAGTTGACACGGTACGCAACGGTCGCGCGTACAAAGTACAGGCACACCGTTATCACCACCACCACGGACAAAGACGCAATATAGTCAACTCCCCTACCAACGCCATAAAGGCCAAGAAGGGACGAGAAGATAAGTCGCGCCGGACGAGCTTCGATCGCACGTCTAACAACATGAGATGTTCCGAATGTTGTCCAGAGAACTCTACTACGGCTCCACAAGGACTTAACTTCGTTGGAATCACCGAATCTACGTCCAACCACTAAAGGTTAGAACGTCGCCGAAGGTTGCCGAATCTGTCCTACCGACCTGTTTGTGTGGCTCCACACAAGTGCGAGTATTCACAATCATACGACCAGCTTTCCGCGGATCAAAACCACGATAACCGCCGAAGTCGCGTCACAGTGCAGTTTATCAATACCAAGACTTCCGATAAGCTATGATCGTTAAATCAAACAGTTTCAGTGTTATCTTTCACTGTGTTCAACAAACTACAGACAACACTCGACCACAACCATCTACTATGGATCATTAACAAAAACGAATTTTTTGACTTGAATGAAGCATTAAAAATCAAAATTTTCGCCCAGGCGATGGCGTTAAACTCACCATTGCTCGCCGTCCATAAGAATACATTCGACACCTGTAACTGAGAAAAATGTTTTTTGAAATCTGAACCAAAAAATAATAAATGAAAAATCATGGACGGCGAGTGAAGAGTGTAATATTATCAAGCCTGGGCAAGTTTATGATAATTTTTAACGTACATAATTTGGGTATGATTAAAAGCAACTCGTTATTTATTAAGTTAATACCAATAAAAATCAAATAAGTTAAAAATTAAGTCATTGAAAATTAATTTAAAAAAAGTTAAGTTTAACTTAACTTTAACTTTTTAACTCGTTTATGCCCAGGCTTAAATATTATTACACCGATAATGGATTGATATTGGATATGGACAGTGGTTTTATATGAGTATAATATATCCACTTTGAATGATCGTCCTACTTAATAATTATGTGACCAGTATTAACCATTAATTAGAATTAAAGAACAAACACTAAGTCATAATGAATTTTGCTACAATTAAATCCAAAATTCATTTAGACTTTAATTCTAAAATAATGTTTCTTCTATAACATTTAACCTACCTCTAACATTATATTATTTTTAGTTAACAATGGTTGATAATAAGTGTTATATAGGTAACTAATGGTACAAGAAAAATAACAGAAAAATCATGGAAACCGTAAAATAAGTATATTAATTAGAAATATGCATAGTAAATATAAATGAATGCGCCTCACTAAGAACTATGTCTCAACAATTATTGAGCACAACATTTAGTACGCTACATAATAGTTATACTGTACGCAAGTATCACCACCGTTCAGTTATTAGTGCTTAATTATTATTGCCTGCGCTCAAGTGCTGTAAATCATAATAAGAACATAATCTGCACAGTGAAGCTGTTAAACTAGACATTTTTACGTTGGAAAAAAATTAATAACAATAAGAATACGGAAATGACAAAGTACCTTCATTCATGATTCAAACCTAAATAGCAGAACATCAGCTATACCTAATGGCAAACCAAAATAAACATTATTAAGTTGACCATTTTTGTTAACAAATGGTATGATTACTTGTAGAAGGCGCTAAAAAATCACATTTTTGCGCCGACAATGACTTTAAATCATCACTCACTCGTCGTTCATACTAATACATCCAGTAGTCGAAAAACATTTTTGACAGATTTCTGGAATTAGAAAAACAAATGAATAAACATGGAAGACAAATAATTAGTGAAATTCTTGTACTTTTATTGTTTATAATAACAAATGTATACACACTATTAAGGATATAATATGATACATCAAAGATTATTAGTTAATTAAATAATGAACGAGTGGATTTTAACTTCAAGAAAATGCGAAATTCTTCAGAACTTTAATTTTGAAATTATATCTTCCTAAAGGAGAACAGCTAACATAACACAGGATATTAAAATACATTACAAAATCTCTTAAATGCAAACATCATCAGCCTTTCAAAACATGAATTTCAAGATCAATAGGCATAAACATAATTATTATTCAGCTAGTAACATGTAAATGAGAATTACGAGTTTGAGACCAACATTTAACCATCCGTCGGCAAGCCAATCATAACCAGTAAAATTACGCTATATACACTTATAACTTCACCATTATGATTATTATTATGATTATTACTATTATAATTATTACTATTATGATTATTACTGTTATTTTTTTATTATTATTATTATTATTATTATTGTTTTTCTTTTTGTTGCTCTAGTTTCTAAGATTAATCATTATTGTTTTAAAATCTATTAATTTTGTGTTTTTTAAACTAAACTAACTTTTATTTTATTTATAATATTATATGAATTAAAAAAAATAATAATAAATAACTAGCTAAAACTCCATGATGTAATAAATCAAAAATATTATGTAATCATAATTTCAAACTTAACGAACTTTTTTCTTGTGTTTATATTACTTAAATAACATAAATCAAAAAAAAACCTTAAGCTATTACAGTTAAATACTCGTATGTTCAATAATAAATAGATGTTGTTAGAAATGTAACCTATGGTATTTTTTTTATTTTTTTTATATATAATACCGTATATTACTGTTATATTTACAGTATTTTAAATTATTAGAAATTGAATACAAGTTACAAAAACCTTTGTTAATTATGAGAAATGAATCATTTTAAAATGAATTAATTGAAAAAATGGATAAAAGGTTAGACAACATTTGATGAAACACATAATAAGTACAAGAATTATTTCAGACCAAATTTACCAAATTAATATTTAGTCATGCTGCCAATAGTATACAGTATGTCTATATACCTAATGAAAAATAATAATTTAAATTTAAAATATTTTTCTACAGTTATTATTTTTTTTTTTTTGTTTGCCTATTTTCAAGTTTAATTTAGACTATCAAAATAAGTAAGTAAGTATAAAGTAGCAATCGCAAAAAGCCATTACTGAATAGTGATTATTATTTATTAATCTAGAATATCAGAATATATAATAACGTCAATAACAATATACAGTTTGATAAAGTTGTCAAATTACACAGCTATGGATAGTTTTAGAATAAATACACAATGAGAAAACCTGTTGAAATTAAATAAATCATTCGTAGGAACGCGGCTTTAGAATAAAAAATGTCATATAATAATAATTAATAAATAAATAATCATAATTTATAGCTAAAAATAGTACCTACCTTAAAATTGTTTTCATACACTTCGTATAAAATGATTCTCTACCATATATTTAATGCCTTGTAAAGGTTATACATTTATATCGCTGTATCAAACAAATTACGTACTAAATAATAGGCATTTAGATTTGAAGAAACTTTTAAAAACAAGGATAACGGTTTTGAAAATGAATTTAATGTAACACTAATACAATAGGCATACATTTAAGTAAAATCTTGTTAAAATATTAAATTCGGATATGATTATTTTTAATCTTAGTAAATTATTTTTAAACTTTACCCAACCAAAGAGACAGACATTATTATGTTTTAAAATTATAACAATAATTCAAACAATTAAACATTTTTGAAACCTTAATGAAATAAAACAGATACATTTTATCTACCTAAAATAATAATAAAAAATTGATTTCGCTATTTACTAAGCAAATGTTTTTTTTTATTGTTATTATTAAGGCTATAGACATATTAATAAGCGCCTTTTATTTTCTAATGATTAATAAAATTTTGAAATTATTTTTTAAAGATATATTAAAAATGGAAATGAGCATTTTACTATCAAGTTGAAAATGTATAACTTTTTGATAGTGCTTACTTTATCCCACCTTAGTAGTAATTTATTTTTGATGTCGACTGATCATGTTCGGTGAGCAGTGGATACACAAATTTTATGTTTATTAGATTATTTTATAATATTATATAGATTATCTAGTTAATATGCATTACATGAAAAATAATTTAAAATATACTTTAATTATGTTTATTAATAGTATCATTGAAAAAGTGAATCTTATTAGAAATTCTTTTTCTATGTATGCATTATATTTTATTTACCAGAAACATTATGTATAGAATTATAATTAGCTAAAAATATAACTATGTTGTAATTTCTAAAATTATTTATTTTTTTAAAAAACTAATTTGTATCATACAAAATATAACATTACCTGCGTCCTGCATTAAAATTTATAAGTATGGCCTAAAATAATAAAATTAAGCATCCATATATTATTGTTTAATATACCTACAGAGTTTTCTTAATTAGTTTAATTATATTATTTAGTATTTACTATGGAAAATTAGAAATTAGTTAATTAAATTATGTTTCTTTGTTATCTAAAGATACATTTTTTGCCAATACAAAAAATTTATAAGTAACTTCTAATATATTTTAATTGAAATGAATTTTACTAAGTATATTTCTTATACCAAAATATTAAGCTCCCTCCATTCCTATGTTTACAGATAGCATATCTATTAAAATTATTTAAATAAATCTGCCTGATTAAATAAATATATAAATTATAACTAAGAAGTACAAATTTAAAATTTTAACTCTTGTTTTAATCTGACATATATATATATACTTTGTAGTTTGTACGATAAATAAAATGTTCAAAATCAAAACTTTTTTTAAAGAGTTTTAATTTAGAGTTAATACTTAAATGGATGTACTACAATATATTAAGTCATTATCGGAGTTATTTCATTAATCATAAGATATATATATATATATACTAACTAAAGAGCAATTTACGTTTAAGAATATTAATAAATCTTTATTAATTTTGCTACTTATTTAGAATCATACAATTATACTATAATTTCGCTAATTAAGACTGCCAAATAGTACAGATAATAAAATGATACTTAATAAATGGACACACCATTATAGCAGTGTAAATTGTCATTTGTCTGTATGAATATTATTATAATATTAGCTAAATACAAATCAACTATCACAAGAAAAAGCAATTTGTATAATTTATTTTCCAGTTTTTGAATTATTTTTTTGAAAGATATATACATTTAAAATTTTAATTACAATTAGAAATATTATATTTTTTTCTTATTAAAATATGAAAAACAATCATAACTATATAAAAATTAAAAGTATGCTTAAATGTAAGATAAATAAGGGAGAAATTTTAAAAATATTATAAAATATTTGGTTTATAGTCCTTATATTAATATGAAAAGATTTCAGGCGTAAACATATAGCTGTTGCCTGTTTTACGTTCAATAAATTAGTTTTTAACTTATTAAGCTGCTCCTGACATGTGAATGCTCGAGTGTTTAGTTACATATAATCCAGTAAAGAATAATAATTATTATTAGAAATCACACAAGATAAGTCGTACCCACTACCTACTGAATACAAAATTATATAGACTTAACATAATTCCATAAAAAGTGCTAGTCTGCAGAAATCTTGTTAATAGTTATATCGTTAACCATAATCAATTAAATCCAAAAGTTGTAGAATATTAATTTTAAGGGTAAAAATATAATAAAGATTAATAATGAGTACAAAATTTGTACAATTTAGCATTTTTTTCCTGGTATTATAATAAAAAATAAAAATTTGTGAAATATTAATAAGTTTTAATTTTTTAATATTTATAAGTGATTCATCGTCAAAACCAATTTCATAACAGGGTAAAGTAACACATTAATTTTCATAATTTAAAAAAATATATGTTTTATTATAAATTAATTGATTAATCGATAAATGGCTGAAACAACCTCCAAAAAATATATTAATTACAGTTACAATGGATCAATAAAATTAGAAATAACATTAATCATAAAATAATAAAAATAATTCAATACTTAATACATAAATTCTACTATTTTAGGCTATATAATACAATACACAATATGTTCTATGACGAAGGTGGTTTTCCATTGAGATAATATTATACATTTTAAAATCTCATTCAAATTTTCACAGTTCAAGGTACATTTAGATTCGGTATTATATTATTTCGACTTATAGTCATACATTATACATAATTTGACTAAAAAATGTGTAAACATTTTGTACTTTTTGTACGTTTGACATTTTATAATAATTCGATTTTTTAACAATTTGTTTACTGTATAGTGATAAAATATGATACGCAGTAATATAATATTGACTCAATATTATTGAGCTTATAAACTATATGTCTATATGTAGGTAGATTCAAGTTGGACGTAAATGACCACAGTGCAGGTAATAGGTATTGAGTTTATCACTGCTGTACTTGTCATTAATATTCTTGTTTAATAGATATATCTGAAAATTATAAAAAAATATTATTGAGTATTGTATTACAACGGTAACAGATACAATCTGTTTTTTAAGTTTTTTTTTTTTTATACTATTAATGAATTAACAGTAATAATAATAAATAAATACAATGAATAGTACTATATCATACAATACATATTTTACAAACACAACATAGAAAAAGAAAATTCAAAATACACCTTAGATATAAAATTTCTAGTTAAGAAAAAAATATCATATAACTATAACTTAAAAATTTTAAAATATTACTAATTTATCCGTTTTTTTAATATACTTCAAAAATTTAATAAATTTCTTTACAAATTGTATTGACAAATGAAAATGTATATTTGTGGACAGTCTTAGTTTAGACACATTTACTAAGATTATAACTAATTATTTACGTACATCTTTACAACATCAGATTATTTATCGCTCAACTACTCGTTTGAGCGTAAATTAAACACGATAGATAACATAATATTAGTCAAATTCCTTTTTTTATTCATATTTTACTATCGTCTCATTTTGCCACACAATGTTAATTTCTCAAATTATTTTAATCATTTCGTATTATTGGTATTCAGTCATCAATTATTAACTTATGTATAGCGTAGATGTAATTTTATAACGTGATGTATCTATCTACCTATAATGCAATATCTTAGAATAAATATGTAATTATTTTCATAGTTATAAAATAATATTGGATGATATGAAGTAAATAGAAACGCGATTAATTTTGAAAATAGTTATTCTCATACAAAGCTTTTAAATAAATGTTTACACATATTATTTTAATTAATTTAGTAAACCATAAATTGTATAATGTAATATTCTAATATTGAATTGTAATTTTAATTATTTTTATTCATGATATTGTAATAGGTGCTATTGCATTATGCATTCGATATTTAAGTAATAAGTTAAATTAGATTATACTATGATATTATATAATAAATAAGATAGGAAGAAAAGTGGTTTTTTAAGGTTTGATCGCTCGATACAGTGACTATATAGAATTATATAATATCATGGGGTCAATAAATTGCTTATATTTTAAATTATGTGTTTTTCGTTTTATTCATGTACTTCATAAATAATCGGCGTATAGGATACTATCTAATTATAAATATATAATTTTATATTTTTAATTTATTAATTAAAAACTATTTTGTTTAAAATTTCTTAAAAAAAAAAATTTGTAAAACGAATAACTGTGGAAAAATAGAATCTTATTGATTTTTGTCTCATTTAATAACCAACCATTTTTTGTATAAATTAAATAAAGTATTATAAAATAATTTTAAAATTGTCTATACTTATTGATTTAATGGTCTTTATATTCTTAAATACAATAAAATGTCGATTTAAGCGAGTTTTAAATTTTTAGAGACAATGTTTAAAATGAGTTTTTTCTATGTCATGTGTAGTCCAGTAAGGGAAAACAAATATATAGTGCACTGATATATTCTTAAGCAAACGGAATACGAATTGTCATAGTGCAGTGTGAATCCGACTTACTATAATAATTAATATACATATATATTAATAATAATAAAAATAATACTGTTGTTATGGTGGCGGCAACGGTGAAAACGGTGAAATTCACCGTTTCTTGTTCTGCATCCGGGCGGCCGCGTTCCGTTGCCGGTCGGCGCACAAAGGTATGTGCCTCTCCGCAGAAGCCTCGTTGAACGTCCGTCCGCAGTGCGGACACTTTACCAGGTCCGAGTCGACCTCGTCGTCCTGGTCAGCCGTCGCGTTCTCCAGTTCCGGCGGTAAGTCCTTAACCGAACCGCCCGCGGCCAGGTGCCGCTGCACAGCTCGCGCGGCCCGCACGTTGCGCACAAGCTGGTCGTGTTTTCGGCGCCACGCGTCCTTCTTCTTCTGGAGTTTCTCAGCGACTCGCTGGTCCTCCTTTTGGCTCTGCACGTAAAACGAAACGCACGCATTAGGTCCGCCGTGGTGGATTATGGTGGGTCACGGGTGACTAGATATGGGACGCACTCGATTCGGATGGCATACCGTGGGGAGTGGTCCAGAAGTTTCGCACTACAGCACTAGTCACTAGGAACGAGGTAAGCGTCGGGTAGAATGGGTTGGTGAAAACGCAAGACGCGTAAACTATATTTTATTGCGATCGTATATACACGAACGGTTTAAAGTAATTCTTTTTAACTACGTGGTAGCAACAGATGTGATGGAAAAGTGTTTAAAAAGTGTATGTTTCTTAAATTTAAATAATTCGTCCATTTTCCAGTTAACTTAGGTATATACTATATACCTATAATAAATCAAACAGTTAAGGTATGTGGTATTTACTGCAATAAACTGCAGAGCTTCTCTCTGTTAATTTTAAAAACAATGTCTCATAAGGATATCGAGTCCTATGTGTTTTTTGTATTTGCAAATAATAACTATACTTAAATTATCTAACTCGGGTTTTTTTTTCCGTTGACTTGCTCACTTCCGCTCCTGTGACTCTTTTTTGCATACACCTAACCTAATCTTTAGTCTATCGATCGTCATGAGGATGACGACAAACAATATAATTCTACAGTTAATTATAATAACGCTATATGACGCAATATCTAAATATTGTCTACGTTGAAAAATTTGATTTCTAGTCTACCCATTGCACCTGTGGGCTGTGACGTCGGTGAAACTCAAAAGTGCAAATTGTCAATATTTTTCAATAGATCAAAAGCGCGAATTCATTTTACGCTTTTGTACCTTAGTGGTGGGATAAAAGCGCAAAAATAAATATTGTGTCCGTTACGCTATAAGTTTCATTTTAAAATTATTAATTATTAAGTTAAATTATTCGTTTTAATTAAACACATAGTATTTTTATAATTCAAAGATACATCAACAGTGATTAAGTTCAGTTGAAGTTTAGTGTTATCAACTATAGTATCGTATTTTATCGTAACAAATCATGTTGATGAAGGTTGATAATCATTTGAGATGATTATACGATATATACATTATAGTCATTAAAAACTATACAGTATAAACTTATATCAAATGGTACTATTGAGTATTGACTTGATAGTTAATATACATTAAAGTTATAACTTATAACTATATAGATTAGTACTATATGACTTTTGATTTATTTTTAATTAAAACATGTTTTAAATGGTATAGGTATATTATCATAGATAACTATGATTTTTAATAAAGAATACTTTATTTTTTGTAAAATTTATTTGCGCTTACGGAATATTTATTTTTGCGCTTTTGGGTTGCGTTTGGATCATATTTTGCGCTTATGGGCTACAACCGTGACCGTAGTCTAAGTGGTTCTTTTTATCGGTTTTTTTACAAACCGTGATTTACACGCGAAAGGATAAGCTGTACACCGTAGACGTGGGCACCACGTAATAGTTACTGACCTTTTTCTTGAACGACGAAACGTCAACGCCGGCCTCGGCGGCCACGGCTTCCAGCCGCTTTTTGCTCGTGTCGAACACCTTGCGCTTGCGGTCCCGGTCACGCGTGCGCCGGCACACCTGCTCGTGCTTGGGCAGCCGGTCCTCCGCAAAGTCCCTGGCGCACAGCGGACAGCGGGCCATGCCTTTGGCGGGCGGGCCCCTGTCCGCGGACAGCTGCTGCTTGGCGGGTTGAGGTCGGGGCGACGCCGCGGCTGGCGTAGCGCGCTTGACGACCGGCGGCGGCCGCGGGGAGGTCTTGGCCGGCAGCGGCGCCACGCGCCGCGGAGCCGCCGGCTTTTGCGGCAATTTGGCCGCCCTGACCAACGGCTTCTGAGCACCGGCCGCCGTGGCCGCGCTGACGCTGGCCAACGCCGCGGCCGCACCGGCGCCCGCCGCTATCGCGTTGATCACTGTCGGCTGCACGACGGGCGGCAACAGCAACCTGTTGGAGTCGTTGGACGGGGCCATCGGCTTTTTGTTAGCGACGCGGCCCACGCCGCCGGCACCGCCGCCCACGTTACCGTTGACCGTGGCCAATGGTTTTTTCGTCACCGTAGCGGTCTTGCTATTTATTCGAGCCGCCGGTCGCTGCAACTGCGGAAAAACGGAAAACGTTAGACAATTTGCACGTCATCGTTTGAGTCATAATATGTAAGAACACTACAGTTTTGAATGCGTTTTTAAAATTTTCAAACTTAAATAGACGTAAATTTTGAAAATTTTTTTTTTTTATTTACATTTTCAGTGCAAGCCACACGCAATCACAATACGAGTAGGTAGTACAGGTACTTTTCAAACGCTCAAATACGTATCATTTAAAATATACTCTCTCAAAATATCTGTATCTTAAATCAAAATCAAAATTAATTTTCAATCACTTTATCTTTTTAGTTTATATAATTATATGTTTTCAATTTTCGTTTTATTCACGTAAAATAAAAATAAATATTAAAGACGTAATAGTAATCCTGCATCATACCTAACAATATATTAGTAAATTATTTTGAGGAATAAGATTATTTAGACAAAGAATACAAACAAGTTATAAAATTATATATAATATATAGGATAAGTTGATTTACAAGATAATAAAATAAAATTTAAAGATTTGAAAATAACTATAAATACCTACTATTTCTTTTTATTAGTAAATTATTATTTGAAAACAACTGAAACCTATTTTTTGTACCAATGTTTTTTATTTTTTTTATTCAATTATATTATAAACTGTTTAAAAAATGTAATATTTGTAAAATTGTACATACCTACCTACTGAAGTTTATACTTAACTATAAGTTCTCGATTTGTTTTAATAAAAAAAAAAATAAACAAACTATTAAAAAAAAGTTAATCGTATCATTGCAAAATTAATTGTTGATTAAAATCCTTGCCTATACACCAATTATTGATTGTTAAATAATTTTTAGTTACTAAAAAGTACGCTGTACACTAATAGGTATATTTGTAAAATTCAACAGAAAAAAATCACATTATAAAACCGATTTCAAGATAACATTTTTTACTCGAGACTATCATTACTATTAATATTATTATTGTATTTTATTAAAAATGAATAAATATGACAATCTACGATCTCTAAAATTAAAAACAATAAAATATTTTTGAAGGAAGTAGATAAGGATATACATTTATTTCAAAATTTACTAAGTATATTCTTGCTTATAGCTTAATGGGTGGAGTACTTATTATTATTTATATCGTATGCATATCATTATTATGTTCGTATATTAAGTTTTTATAACTACCTACTGTTATAAACTCACAAAATAATAATATTATGACACACGTACACACGTACATCATGCATTAAACACTGTGCTATTTTTGATACTACCTACTTAACATTCCAATTAAACGTCTTGTAATAATATTATAATGAATAATAATAACAATTTTACAACTCTATTACTATTTTCTACGTATTACGGCATGTACTAAGTAATAAAATGTATAACTATGTATAGAAGTCCGATAAAGAAAATTAAATGCAAACTACATTAAAATTGATAACTGTATCATAACATGCGACGTATTTGGTCAGTATTCAGTACCTATTTTATTTTTTTAAGAAAATTCAAATATTTAAGTACGTACAATGCTAAATTTCAACTGTTAATAATGCCAACTCCGACAAATCACAAATAAACTATAAATTCAATACCAAATTATTTTATAGTCTAATTAAAATATAATTATACGTTTACAAGTTCACGATATAATATTTAATATACTTTAAGTTGAATTTAAGTTAAGTTAGTCAAACATAACAATATGAATAGTATGCATATTTATATCAATAAAAAGACACTAACATTGTAGTTGGTAATAACAATTAGAGCAAAGCAGTTATGGCATTAAAAATATTCAAAATATTGATTACAATATAAAGCTATGGTATAAATGCTTAAACAATAAACTTTTAAACGATTAAAAATACTGTTTTATAAAATAAAATCACATTTTAAAAACACAATATACCTACATCTATCTACAAACAATAAACAAATAAAAAAAGAATTAAAATACACTTTACTATAGTTTATAGTTTTTATACATGTAATAAAAAAATAAAAAATATACTTTCAAATATTAAATCCACAAAACAACAGCAATTAAATAAATACTGTATTTAAAAATTTGCAAATAATATTAAATTGTATCAAAATTATTACAAAAACATAAAATATTTAATATTATATTATGTACAACAAATTAAAATGTATTGAATAGCTGCAAGCTTAACGAAACATATAGCTATAATATTAAACAAAAAAATCTTAGTAACCAAATTAAGTGGTTAAGTGCGATACAAACTTTACTACCAAATAACTAAAAATAATATTTTTAAATTATATATAATTTTTCGGAGGTAGTTTTATACCTGTTATAGATTTTATCGTCGATGGTGTAAGGTGCAATTTCACTGGTATTCAAGTGTTTTAAGTTCCGTGTCGATTTATTAGTTAACCTAATTATTAAATTAAAAAAAAACCTTATCAATAAGTTCACATACATACAAAAAATAACTACCTACTTACAAGTGGCGTCACAAATATTCTTTAAAAGATATTTACATATATAAACAATTTTCAATCACGTTTCATTGATTTATATCTATTAAACATTCGTAAAATGTCCATCAAAAAATACTTAAAATACGTATAATAAGTACAAAATCGTAAACTAAAATAGGTACTTGAAATTAATGTATACAAGAAATTCCAGAAAACTAGTAAACGAGCAAAAGTGCATATAATTCAACAATATAATTACAACATTCTGGTTTATCGTTTATTTTTGGAGGAGACGGGAGGTACTTTTGTTCGTCGAGAAATACGTACTATATAGCTTTGGTGGATCAGACTTGAAATGAAAACGAAAAAATAAATATCCCTTGATTTATTTATTAATTAATAATTGCTTAAGCCTGAGTAGAAATAATAGATTATATTTTCAATATATACTATGGTATTAAAAAAAAAAAAATTGTAAGTAGCACCATCATGTATGGTTAGAATTAAAAAAATAGCAACACGTGTATTTTTCATACGTTTTACACCGATAAGCAGTGAAAAAATTACACATTCTTCGTAATATCCAATCTTAATTTTTAATAATGCATGAATTCTTTGACAAAGTTTCTAGGCTAAATGGGAAATTGATTTTCGATTTTAAAAAAAGCCTTAAAACATTATATTGTTCTAAATTTCAGTGAAATAATTGCATTAAATTTGTTTTTACTTTGAACATAATACACAGAATGATTTCTAAATATCCTGATCAGAAAATTTATGAATTCAATAGGTTTTTTTACTTTCAAAATTACAATCAAACTTTAAGAAATATTACTACTTTTAGTAGATTTTATAGTTATTGAAACAAAAATATATCTATGTGTATGTTATTTATCGCAACATAATGAAATGTACGTGCACATGCGAAAATTATATTTTACCAAAAGTGGTATTACACAAACTTATGTTCATTTACTATTTACAAATTGACACAGCCTAAATATTATTCCTTAAAATATACTACGGTCCAACCCCCTTAACGATTAAGAAGAAGCTTTTAAGTTAAACATATTATTATTTATTATTAATTAATATTGTTTGTGACAACATTAACTTACCTAAAGGTCAATGGTAATTATAGGCTATAGTCTGACGTCGACGTAACTCACCTAACACAGATTAATTTTATAATTTATTGGTCATTTTGGAGTATAAAACGACTGTACATTTTTTTTATTGTCTATACTCAGCTGTCATCATGACGTTTATTCAATAAAAATACTATCAATTTTACCAAAAAAGTATGCTATAGACTCCATAGCGCAAAATCTACCACCATAAAAAGAAGTTTGGGATCCTCTGCGGGTGTAGATTGGACAATATTCACGAATGAAAAAGTGTACGATAATTTTTCTCGTTCGTTTTTTAGGGGCCTGGAAGACTTTTAACGACAAGGCGGGGGTAGGGCGGGCGACTATGACTACCGATTTTTCCTGTGCATCGTCTATACACTATAGTATAGGTACACTCCCACAGATGAGCTGCTCCCCAAAACTCTGTACTCGGCGTGTACGCGATTGTAAACGTAATTAATTGTAAGTGTATTATTTTATACTTGTACCTACATCATTTCGGGTCTCGGCTAAACTTGTGACGCCACTGAACTACACGCCGTGGGTTACTACTTTTACCGTGTCACGACACCCGCGTAATATAACGCGCCACTACTGTTGTAAATAATAATAATTACGTGTTCGTTTGACTTTGTGTTATTGTATAGCTACGAAGCGCTAACGGGTCAAACGGTATATCTATTATCTCATGAAACATTTTTTAAACAACATCAAATTATCTTATGTGTTGCGCATGCGTATGCAGCGTGCCCGTGTCGTAACTGCGACGATAATGACCTGTTGGTGCCGTTGATCGTAGTCGCCACCGTCGTTGTTGTCGTCGTCGTCGTCGTCGTCGTCACCGTCACCGTCACTGTCACCGCCGCCGCCGCCGCCGCCACCAGTAGCCGCCCCAGTAGCCGCCGCCGCCAGTCTCGCGCCCCCGCCCCGTTTTTCCGGCGCGGGTGGCTGCGGCGCCGGAGCAGGCCGTGGGCCGCCTCCGCCGCCGCCGCCGCCGCTGTTGCCGTCGAGTAACCACTTGAGCTCGGGCGCCGACTGGGCGGCTTTCATTTTTCCGGCTTTCCCGCGAAACGATTCCGACAGGAGCTGTCCGCCCAGGTTGGGCAGCCGGCCGAACAGCGCGAGCAGCTCGCCGCGCACGTCGCCGCCGTTCGCGCTGCTGATGCCCACCAGGTCGGCGCCACCCACCATCGACGGGGCGGTAAAGCAGACGGTCTTGCAGAGCGGGTCGTCGTCGTCGTCGCCGCCGGACAGTGGTCTGAGGGGCCGAGACCGGTCGCGGCCCGTCAGGCTCCGCCGCCGTTGCCGCCGCAATTGCTGGTGGTGCTGGTAGCCCATCCCTTGCTGCTGCTGCTGTTGACTCCGCTCGGCAAACAGCTGTCGTACCTTCGCGCCGGGTCGGGTGATAATCGAGTTAATCAGACTGCAGTGAAACTATCGATTGGATATACGACGGATTTCCGTACGCCAATCGATTTGACGTATACGATCGCACAAACCTCGTCGTATATCATACATATATATGCCGGTTTGTAAGTGCATTAAACCTATCGGGCTTGGCCGTACGGGTTTGGTGGATTTCATCGTCGCCACGAGAGATGAACCGAAACTTATTGCTGTATACGACTTTAAGTTTGATAAGTTATACGCGGATGTGTGAAATAAAACGTGTACTACAGCCTACAAGTTGTTTCGATTGTCGAATACAACTTGTAGTACGGTAGTCGATCACGAGACTTAAAAAGATAGAAAATGAGCAGGATTTTAGCGAACGGTGGAGTGAGTAGCGAGGTATTGGGTGCGACGATTTCAAGTAGGTATGCCGCAAATGCCTAGCGCGCTACCTATTTATATTTAAAAAATTAAGCCGCAGATTTTTGATTACGCTACTAATATAACATATAACGTTACGTGTTCGCTGTATATACTAATTCGATGGTAAAGCGTCAAAAGTATAGGGCACCCATGAAATAAGAAGCCATCTACCTCATTCCCATCTACCGTATCGTTCTGTCTTTGTCTGTAGGCTATTAGTACACAAATGTGAGCCCAAACGGTAACAGCACGCGATGAGACACCAGAAATGAGTGTTTTATTACATAGCCTCGTGGGTGTTTTAACTATAATTATTTGAAATACGAGCCACGTGGTTTTAGTAGTAAAACTATCGCCAAATAATTGATATAAAATAATTAAAAATAAAATGTTTTATTACTGCTATTATTAGATACAATATAGATATGTCAATATGTGCTTTAGATTACTCGTAATGCGTCAGGATACACACACACACTTGTACACATACAATTGTATACTATTTTACTATTATATTTGTATTTATTATGGTGAAACTAGTGATATAAATGTAGACAAATCATTTGATAATCGATTAATAACAAAATAAGTAAACTAATCGTTTTGATACGTTGACGACACCGCCACCGTTATTCCGTGCTAGATATATGTATACGGTTAATATTCGGTACGGCGACACCAATATTGGGATATTAATAATATAATATTTTATTAATGAAAGGCTGATGAGACTTGAATTTATGAATTTATTACATCAATGTTGTGGTTTATTTTAATAAACAAAAAAATCAATGAAATAATTTACCATAATATGTATATTTCAGATGGATATCGGCGCCAGTGGTATTAACTATTAGCTACCTATACTAGTAATATAAATCGTAATAACCATAATAATAATTGTGCGATAATAATCGTATCATATTGTTCGCACAGCACAACAGCAATCCATTTCATTCGATGATAGCGTGCGAACATAAAATATATTTTTCATATATTAAAGTATAGTGGTTTTTACATTATCGTACTATATCAATCCGATATAATTTATAAATCCTATAATGATATAAAACGAATATTATGAGAAAATTTCATACTTAAAACATTATTATGTTTGTAAATTGCCATAAAAAATATGTAAAATTGTTCATCAACATGGGTATACAAATTAAAAACTTTAATAAGATAAATTAACTTATCTTGTACGGGTTATAACTCCGCTTACAAAAACCAACATACTATTAAATAGTAACTTGTTACAGGTGTCCACTGTCCAATACATGAAATATATTCTTTAAACATTATTGTGATTGTCAATATTGACTATAGAAGGATCTCCCTTCTATAATACTATGGTTTTGTGCTAAATAATCCGCGAAAAAATGTGCCTACATAATATTATAAAATTTCCATCCATGCCTTCAAAAAATATAGCCAGTAAATTAAATTGTATGTATTTTTATATCTAATTTACTACTTTACATACATCTCACTTCTCTTCATAGTTCATATAATTCAACGGTCGAATGTTGTTAGATATGTATAATATTTCTGTTTACTTAATACTATGATCAATTTTTTATAAATAACATATTTAATTTTAATATAAAACTATGTTATATACATAGCTTTTAAAATTATTTTAATATAATTTATGACAATTTTCGGTACTGAACTTCTTTAGATTTAATTATTTAATAAAACATAATATAGAGGATCTCGCATAATTAATTTCGATTTATAAATTATAATTTTTTTCAAGAATATTAACACGTGAGAAATACTACAGTGTATGCTACAGGCGATTTTACTATAATATATTATTATAAAGTTACCTATTTATTGCGTACTGTAAACAGTCATCTACCAATATGATGGTAATAATATTATATGTGATCTTTAGATAACGGGCTAACTCGATAATCGATTTTGTTTAAACGAAATGAAAAAACCCCCTTTCGGTAATATATCGACTGTGCATCTAGTTGAGTTCATCTATATGTTAGCCATTTTTATCTTCGGCATTCATCACACGTACGAGGAACATATTATATTATTATAAATAGGTAATAGAAAAAATATTACGTTTATAACGTACCTTTCCTTTTACGTCGACCTGTACAACAGAATCACCGGATCCAGCCGGTCTGCGCTGCTGTGGTTGTACAGCGGGGATGGCGCCGACGATCCGCCGAACAGGTGGCACAGGCAAATCACCGCTTCCGGTAGTCTTGGTCGGCGAAGTAGTTGATAGTTTTGTTGGTCCAGTGACGTTGCCTTTGATGGACGCCAAATTGGCCAAATGCTTCTCCTGGAACTTTTTCTGCAAAACGGCGTAACATGGTTGTAGCGAAACATAATATACTGTTATAATCTGTGCAATCCACGGTCCTAGAAGGCGGGTTTGGCATTGGCTCGATTGTATGTATATATACACCCGTTTATATACGGAAGAGTTTTTAGTAATTGTTTATTTTCTATCAACTATATAGATGCATATTATATTTTATTGGCCATTCAAACGTTCAATATAAGTATAAATTATAATACCGTCAATGCGAGAATAATACTATTTTAACGTTTAATACCTATAAAAATTAATTATTATGAGATAGTATTTATTTACGAGCTTAATAATAAACTATCTGTTTGGCGTTTATTTTTTGAATAATTACGAATGAATTAAGACTAATTTTCGCATCTTCAAGAAAAATCAAAATTTAAATTAAAAACATTTTACAGATTATACCCATTTTTTCAGTTGATTTTTGGATAATTAAAAAAAGTAAATATATACATAAACAACATGTTGACACAACTATAATGACTGCTACTAATGCTACTAGAATAGTTAGTTAGTCGTTTTTTTTTTTATATTTACCAGTATATGTCACAAAATTTAATAAAAAAAAAAAAACAATGTAAAAAGCTCTTACGTTTTTATATTTTTAAGAACGATACTTCATTAAACATGATATCTTCAAATTAAATTTTTCAAGTATTTCCCTAAGAAACCTACCAAACGACTACAATCACTCTTCTCCGTATATGTAAGTGTATTTTCACACAAAAATATCGAGAGTAAAAGACCATGTAAATTTAAAATTTTCTATCTAAACCACAGAATCACGCATAAAAAGAGAAACAGTCTCGGTTTATATTTATTTTATAATTATTAAAATTTATCCTCAAAGGCCGTGTAATTTACGTTATACTGAAACAAATTTACAATAAATAATATAGACAACTAGCACGTTTTTGCCATCACTCACTTGCATGTCCATCAATCTTGATTGCGGTTGACCAGCCGCCGCCGGAGCCCGCAAAGGCGACGACGCCATGATCACGGTGATCTACTCTGTCTGCAGATGTCGCGCGTTTCGTCGTCTTCGCTACTACCGTTTTGCGCAAGTACTTACAACAAAAGCTGAGTGGACTGTTGCGGATGCAGCTGTCGCCGATTTTCGTATTCTAAAAAAACCACAACACACTTATAAAATAAAACACTAAATACTTGCTACCATTAATCAGTAACTCAAACAGATTTAAATAAAATATGAACCTATAAAGACTTTACATCATAACCGTATAAAACTCTGACCTTAAAATGTTGTATGCTTCCTACACTAAAATTTGTTTTGTGAAATTTTTATGTACTACCTTCCAGTAATCATATAGATACACCAACACGATTAATTTTTGGCCTCAAACTACAGAAATGAATAAGAATCTACTCTGATCGATAACCTACTAGGTTTATAATATTATAATAATTTATTGAAGTAATGTTATATAAACTCAATATCTTATACAATTTAGTAGCACAATTACTACAGTTACGGTGACTTATTAAAGTTGATTACAGTAGTCGATATAATTTAAAGAAACATAATATCATGGAACTTGTAGCCGGTCCCTAAACTTTATTTCAAACAGTCATGTTAAGATAATTATTACTCATTGCATACTTTTGATTTCTAAACTACCCCAATAATTACCATTTTATTTGTTTTTTTTTATATAAGTCAAAAAGAGAAAAACTTCTTAATCATTACTTTCGAAAAATATTATATTTTAACGATTTATTTAAAAATATTCACAAATAATACACATTATTTGGTATATGCTAAAAAAGTAATTAACGATAAATAATTTTAAAAATATATGATTTCATGTGGTATAGCCACCAAGAAAAATTTTTCACTTAACTTTTTACGATTCACCGGTGAAAAAAAATTTGAAAGCTCTTTCTCGTTACTTTAAATTATGTACAATAATTATTGTAGTCTTTGCAATAATTGCATTCAACTATAATATATATGTCTTATCTTCCCGTATCCAATCTTCAGAAAATATGTTATATTATATGAGAATTTTAATTGTAATAATTATCATTTATGGCAGCGGTTCCCAAACTGTGCTCCGCGGAGCCCTTGGGGCTCCGCAATGGTTTCTCAAGTGCTCCGTTCATTATTACACAAAAATGTAATAATTTTAAAATTGTTTAAATTATTTAAAACGAATATATATATGAACGTTAAATATTTCTCGGGGCTCCACGAGAAACTTCTCCTTAAAAAAAAGGCTCCGAGGTTGAAAAAGTTTGGGAACCGCTGATTTATGGTTTTCTAATATTATTAAAATAATAATTGAAAATAAATAGTATTATTAAATACTATTAATAACCGTAGATTTTTATGGATATCGGATACACATATCATCATTACCATTGAGCTACTCTCTCCCACTAAAATGTTGTTCAGTTAAATATTAAAAAATATAAATACTAGTTATCTAAAACGATTTATATCGTGAAATAACTATAATAGCAGAAATACACCACGTTTGTGTGATGGTGGTACTGATAGTTGTGTTCAGTCATACTATACGGTTAATTAGTTGAGTAATAAATACAATTTTCATGGAACGATTATTATCGCGGTGAATGGAATAAACACGCAATTCCTTTTACTATTTACCACCAACGTAGTATTATTATAATTTATAATGTAAAGGGAGGTTATACATATACTGGTTCGTACACTACGTAGGTGGCCGTTTCCGACGGAATAGAATATTTTAATAAAATTTTCATACTGTAATGGTAAGTATGTAAAATAATTATAACAACTAAACATAAATCCAGATAAAAAAGAAACCATGAAACAACTTGTTGGGATTTACATGCCAAACTTTTAGAAAGAAGTATAAACTATTGACTAACTTAATTTTCTTTAAAATAAAATGTAATGTTGTAATTGGTTTCATTAAAATAATACTTTCATTTAATTTGTTAAATTTCTCTTTATTATTAATTTGTATGATACATTTTATGTATATATATATTACTAAGGCTCAAAAGTTATAGAAGTTAAAATCGATTAATATATGTAAATACAAAATCTGAAATATAATTATAAAAATATAGGTATTTAAATTAAATTAACTGTTAATAATATTATAGTATATTGCTATAGGTACATATTGCATAAGTATAATATGAATTATTATTCATATTTTTTTTATTAAAATAAACCACCTAATTACAATTAAAATCGAATAAAATAGGTTAAATAAAAAATAAAAAGCGTCATCGTGGCATATACCAGGGAGGAATAAAAACATGGTACTCGTATTATCAAAATTTTTTTTCATGGTATCTAGTGGAATAATTAATTGAAACTTCGTAAAAATCTTTAACAAAAGAAAATACCTATGAAAAATAATCCGATGTAAAATATACAAAGCAACAATTTCTTACAAAATATTTATAGTCATGCTTAAAAATGAAGAAATAATATACAATTTTTTCTAAAATTGTCGAAAAATTTAAAATTATGCATTTAAAATTTTGATATTTAATCTCGTTATTGTATAAAATGAGTTTCTATAGATTGGTTAGTAATAAGTACAAATATAAAAAAGATATGATTCCTACAATTTCCTAACCGTATTAACTAATATTATATATATTGCAGCTTAGGTCTCATTGTATTATTAACAATTAAGCATTTGGCATAATGAAAAACATAACATATTATTATATATTAAGCAATAATGAATTTTTTTTACTGTAATTCTTTTCTTTACGAGACTCAAAACAAAAACTATTAAAACAGGAAATATTGTAGTTTACAAACAATTTGTTGGTACAGATTTTTGAAATATCATAAGATTCATAAGGTATACATAAGGTATACATCAGAGAATCCGTTAAAAAAATATAAAAGATTTTAATATTGTATCGGTTTACCGTAAGTACGACTCTGCACAATAATAATAATAATAGCTCAATAATTGTTATAAGTGACATAATGACACTCTTCAAAGTTCATGAGGAGCAGCGAGTTTTGACGAATGCCGTGCACATGTATTTGTCGAGTGTGCCTATATAAAAATACACTATATAGGTAGTAACAGGATTCCACGGTGCGTAACGCCGCGTGATTTTAATGAAACGTCACGCGTCCTTGTCGCAGTACGTCATCATAACATTATTGTGAACGCTACTGAAGAAAACAATACCATAATAATAAATAATAATTTTTTTTTTTTTTAAGGCATGCAAATATTATATCGATGATACCATAGTTAGTTTGATCGGATAACTGCGTAATATAATATTTTAATTGATTTAATTAGACTAAAACATAATAAAATATGGTATGAATACGATTAAAAATAACAAAACGCACAGTAGGTACGACGTATATAGTTTCTGTACAATCGTTTACGCCGTTTTCTATGATATTCATATAGAGTCGAGGTCGACGATGTCCATAATAAATTATATTGTCGTATAATATGATAGTATAATAATAGTCACACCGAGTAAGACGATATCTGATTGGGGTCGTTACAATTAACGGCGAAATTGAAATCAATAAATTACAATTATTTTTAAAACGGAATAATAATTAATAAAATCTATCGGTTACGCCACTGATGTCTTATCAACAATTATTCTGATCCAAAACACCCAACTGTTAATCAATATAAATTTTATACAACATTTATAAATTTATAATATATTAGGTTATCATTACATTTTATACGTGACAGTTATTTCATAAGCATTTATTTTAACTCATTCATCGTACGAAGGTTATGCAAACGATGACAGACAAATAATAACTATTATTCGCTGTATTGCCCTGTCACGTGAATTGCATAATACTATTATTTTATGATCACATTTTCTTAACTCAAGTACTTATTGTTCTATTTTTACTCAAAATAAATAATTTTTTTTTAACTCAATTTCAAAAATATTTTAGTAACCATAAAACTGTAGTGAATACTCAGAATAACTGTTTTAATGATGAAAATTCGTTTTGAAACAATGTGAAACCACACAAAAATGTATATAAATATAACGAGTAGATAGTAATATAACGGCAATAGCGCTCTATTAAAAATTGTTATATCAAGTCAGAGAAAGGAAATATTAACAATAATTTAACAGAAATTGTTAAAATCGTCCATCAGAGTCCATTTAATAGAAGAAAACTTGTATATAAGTATATAACATTTCTGAATTGTTTTGGTTATAAAAATAAATGGAAATCATCTGCTAAACTGCTGGACTTTGTGATTTACATTTTTTAAATAATACATAAAGTGATAGGAGACGGAATATTGGTGAAAAAATAATTTAAGTCAAACGACGACGTAAAATCGGTTGGTCGTTAGGCGATAATAACTTAATCTAATCTATTGTTAAGCAATGTGTGACGGAGTTGACAATACATAATAATATAGGTACCGGTGGAATTATAAAAGTTTACTTAAAATCTAACTGTACAATATACATACGCGTTCGAATTAAGTATAATATATCAATGTGGAAATCGTTTGCAAATGTACCCCGACGATAGATATACGCGACAGAACAGTGCAATAAACGTGTGAGGTATAAATAGTACTTATATACATGGCAATATTGTATTTGCACTCGGACTCGGTACGTAGGTACCTACCTACCTACGCTTTATTCCTATTGAATACGCTGCAGATGCTTTGCAGCCTGACGAATCGCTTGTTATAATATTATTTTATCATATTGTGTACGTACATATTTATTATCCGTTCGACTGGTCTCACCTCCATCGATCGTATATATCATAAATACCATACCTCGGCACGAACGATTTTCGTGTTTCGTCCCCTACGCCGCACCGCCCACGCACAACTATATTATAATGTTATTAAATATTAATATCGTACACGACCGCGTCGTAGGTAGGCGTACCTACACGTGCTGCGATGATTGTCTTGTACGCACACGTATACATTTTTGCTGATTTTTCGCGGAGGCGACGGCGATAGCGCTCTAACCGAGGACGACTATGCCCCCACGCCGTCGCCTCCACCTCCACTGTCCGTCGCCGCCGCCGCCGCCGCAGCCGAGTCATTGCCACTCGCGCACAAGCACAACAACACACTCACTTATAGTCACTTCACTTGCGCGC